CGATCAGGGGGTTGATGTGCTGCACCCTGTCAAACACAGAGCCGCAGGGCAATCAGGGGATTGGGGAGCTCCCCCCTATCAGGCACAGAGCAGGGCTGAGCAGGGGGTTGGGGTGCCTTCCCCTGTCACGAACAGAGCAGGGCGGATAGGGAGGTTGTGGCCCCGCCCCCTGTCACACACAGAGCCGCAGGGCGATCAGGGGGGTTGGGCACTGCCCCCTGTCACGCTGATCCCGGTGCCGGGAGGCATATTACCCTTTTACCATATAGAATAGAGGCCTGGTGCATGGGTAGGGGCCGGCTGGTTTGCCCTGAAGGGTGTCCTGGATCAGGGTGGGGGTCCCCACTGGGGTGCCTGGCCAGTCTGGGTGAGGGGCTGAGGGCTGTTTTCCGGCTGGCGAGTGACTAAAGCTTCCAACCGCTCCTTGTTTTCTTTTTTTTTTTTTATTCTGGGCCAGCTTTAGCTCTGAGGCCTCGCTGCTGAAAACATCGATACAATGTTTCAGTCCGCCTGGCTTTCAGTCCGGCTGATTTCTGGGGTTTTGTTTAGCTTCTTATTTGCAACATAGTACATAGTTGCTTAGATTTGCAGCTGAGAGGCAGGCAAATGAGGCGGGGAACTTTTGAGTCCGCAGCAAGCAAGCCTCATGCTCGCTTCCAGCTGCCTGGCTGCCGGCCGCTATCTTGGCTGACAGTTAATTTGCATATACTCACTGATTACCCAATGAAAAGGGTAGCGGTCGTACGCTAATTACCATGTTTCTCTTTTATTAGTGTAGATTGTTGATAGTATTACAGGTGTCTTCCTTTTTCTCTCCCTTTACCCACCTCCACCCAGCCTCTGTCCCCCTCCCTCTGGCCATCACCACACTATTATCTATGTCCATGGGCTATGCATATATGCTCTTTGGCTAATCTCTTCACCTTCTATAACATGTTTTAAATATTAGATTTGTCCTTAATTCATCTGGAACTTATATCTTCCAAGTATGTGTATAGTCAATTGTCCGAATACCATTTATTAAATTGTTTATTTTTCCCCCTATTGGTTTGAAATGTCATTGGTTTTGATTTGATAATATTTTATTTGGCCTACAGTTTTAAAGCAAAATGATGTTGGCCTCATATAATGAAGTGGGTGGTTCTTTATTTTTTTTCTTTTAAAAAATTTTTATTTTTCAATTACAATAGACATTCAATATTATCTATATATCTATATATATAAAAGCCTAAGTGACCTTTACCACTGGTCAACTGAACAACCCATCGACTGGTCGCTATGATGCACACTGACCACCAGGGGGCAGATGCTTAATTGCAGGAGCTGCCCGCTGGTGATCAGTGTGCTCCCACAGCCAACCTTCCA